CCCCCCCGTTTTTGATCCCATTCCCCACTCCACCCCCACAGAATGTCTCTGGTATATGGTTGTTCATTATTTTTGTTATTTGATGAATGTAATTTTAATTGGTCCTTTACCATCTTGATTTGAAAAAATTTTCTGCAGGGACATTCCTTGGGACTAGCAGAGTTACATTGATATCTTATTAGTGCTACCCAACACTCTGTTATTTTTAATGTATTATGGACATTGTAGAATATGTGTTGTAGAATATGTATGACATAAAGTTACTTTTACCCAGTTTTAAATGTACAGTTCAGTGACATTAAGTATATTTACACTGAAGCGCATACATTACTGCCATCCACCCCCCCAAAACTGTTTCATTATCCCAAACTCTAGCTCTGCCTGTTAGCCACCCTCTAACTAGCATCCCTCGCCCCCCCCCATCCTCACCCCTGGCACCCACCATTCTACTTCTTGTGTCTATGAATTTGACTACTCTCGTTACCTCACACAAGTGAAACCCAGCGGCATCTGCCTTTTACGCCTGCGTTACTTCCTTTGCATCATTCCTCAAGGTGAGCTCTGGACACCCAAGTCTGCTTCTCCACAAGGCTAGTAGCCAACAGAACATTTATCTCAGCTCAGCACAGAAAAGTACCCGTAGCCATTCAGTGCTCCAGAAATCATGTCCCTAAGGAATTACAATATGCTGAATTTTTGTTTTGAACTGTTTGATCAGTTTTCCAGAATTGATCAGAGCCCCGACTCTGATGAATGAGGTCAGTGTTGCCTTGCCTCAGCATGTGTTCTGGGCCTTATCAATAACAGGATTGGGATAGTGCTTCTCACTCACGCCCCACGCCTCCCCTTTCTCAAGGCAAAGGGGGATGTCTGTACTTTTTTTGGTTCTTCCTGCCTGGAGGGGAAGGTTGGCCATTTTGCTTCTGACTCAGGCAGTGTCAGGATCCACCCATCATCACCAATGCCAGGAGCAGCTCAGTCTCAGATTTTCTTGTTGTTTCCTGTTTTACTGGCTAAAGATTAAAAGGGAGAAAGGAGAGTGTTGCACAGATAAATGTAATACATAGTTGACGCTTACTAGTTTTCTGTCTCTCAGTGGCTCACAGGCCCTGGATGCACTACATCTTTGACCCAGTCCTCAGCATTGGGGTGCCCCTCTTCCACTGTTGTAATCAGCAACCCCAACACAGAATGTCCACAGGGCCACCCCAACTTTTACAGGCTCAGAGCTAGGAGCCATGGAGCCAATCAGTGGTGCCCACTATATAGGCCACTCGGTCCCCTCTTCTGTCTGGCACATCAGGTCTTTAAAACAAAGTGCCCTTTCCAGATGGCAGCTTTCTTTTTCTGTACAAGCCCATGGTACAGGTAAACAACAGGGACATTTGCATTTGGCCTTCTCTGAAGCCTCTCTGCGCTTCAATTTCCCATGGACCCTGTCACAATACTGCTGTAGGGCCTCATAGGGATTTAGAATGGAGAGCAGCTTGAGACTGGGATGTACTAAAAATAACCAGTTAACTAGTCCTAATGGATTCGGGCACATTTGGTTTATGTGAAAGTGCAGAGAAGGACTTACTTTAGGAAATCATTGTCGTTTTACAGGCCACTAAGCACATAGCTCTGTATCTAGGAATCCTTTGGAACCCTTTAAGGGAAGCACCTGAGGCACAGAGGCTCCGCAGAGCTGACTCCTCGCTGCCTCTGACTGACCTGGGCACACTTGCCTGTTCTCTTACGACACATCTGTCCTATACTCTCTGCACCCACAGCTTAATCGCTACCTTCTCGGGGGCTTAGCCAGAGTTTTATTTCGTGCCAGAGAAGGTAGCTGTCCTCCCACAGGCCCAGCGCCACAGGTGAGCAGTGGTCCAGGTGTGCTTTCTTCTGTCCCTTCTCGCTCCTGTTGTGCTGTTTATTTCGGACTAAGATTTTTATGGCTGTGTAATCAAAGTTCTTCTCTCTGTAGGGTATCTTCCCTGAAACATATATCCATGTGAAAGAGGCAACTGTGGAAGATCGAGGGTGAGTTCTAATCTAGAGGCCTCCTAAAAAATGGTAAAGTTGTAAAATTGTCATTGGAGAACACCTTATTAGAGGACTAGTTCACGTACCTCATCAGTGCCGCTTCTTATTGGAAATGAATAAAAATTGTTCATTCACGTTTCTCTGTTTGCTATTGCTCCTGGCCCTCCTTCCCAGAGTAGCAATGACAGAGGCGACGATGAATTCTGCCCCTCCTCCTTCCCCTTCTGACCTCCGTGTGCAGACATGTGCACTAGTTTCAGGATTAGATCCAAGTGTGCCCAGTTTGGGGGCAAACCTTTACGTACCAACTCAGAACCTTGGGCGAGGACATCAACCTCAGTACTCTCAGAGCCCTAGATGGGTCATGAACTTGCTATGAAATGTGAACATGTTCTGCCAACACACTCCACTCAGTTTGGGATATGCTTACTTCTTCTTGATCTCACTCTTCACCCTGGCAAGCGCTGCTTCTTTGCCAGCTATCAAGGGCGAGGCACTCAGCCTGCCTTGGGAGAGAAAGGCCTCTGAGTTGGCGAGCATCAAGAGGGTGAGAGAAAGAGAAAGAGCCAGGAGCAGGGCTGCAGTCCTGGTGCTGATAGAGAACAGACTGGTCACGGGGTCACTCAGACTCAGAGCCCACAGAACGTGCTCACTCCTAAGCTCTTCATTGAATAGCCAAGAGGTAGAAACATGCCCAAACTCACACAAGTCGTGGAGAGCAGAACCAGGACTGAGAACCAGGTGTCTGGTTCCTGGAGAATCTTCTTCCCAGTTGGTCATTGTTGCAGTCTCCAGTGTGACCAACATATTGGTGACATTTTCCTATGAATTAGGGTTGCCACGTGCAATGCAGGCTGCCCAGTGAAGTTCGACATTCAAAGACCAACCAGTAATTTTTAAAGTATGTCCTGGATATTTTACAAGACATATTTTAAAATAATTTTATCTACCTGAAATTCAAATTGAACTGGGCCTCTTCTGTTTTCATTGGTTGAGTCTAGCAGCCTTAACCACGAATCCCCATTCATTTGCATGCTTTTACTTTCTTCTTTTTTTCTTTTGCTAATCATAAAAATACCAGAGAGGATTTATATAAATAAATGTCAAACCTGCCTTGCTATAAATCTCCCAAGAGTAAGTAAAGACTTGGTTATATAAACATTTTCTGCTTTGTGAAGTAACAGATGAAAAGAAAACTGGGTAACATTCTAGAAGAGGGCACCCCCTCCATCCTCATGCACAGATCCTGGATGTGATCAAAGCCTTGGGACCCTTGTGGCATTCTCACCTCTTCACCCAAATTCCCTACTGTTAGCTGCTGAGCAGAACCAGCTAACATACAGAATCACCTTCCTCCCTGAAGTCACTGAAGCCTGCCTGACTCCCTTCCAGAAACAGGGAGATGGAGGCTGAGCCACAGCTGGCTCCGTAGCGGAAAGTGGGTTCATTCTGAGATCCGTGGCTTTGAGTTCCTTTCCTTTCCTTTACTTCCATGTAATGAAGCCTCCTACACAGAGTGCCTCCAGTGGACAAGCTTTACTTGTTCCCAACCAGCTGACCCCATTCCCATCTTGGAGCTTGGGGAAGAGCCTCCATGAGGAAAGGATCCAGCCTGAGTAAAGGGAGCCTCTGTCTGCTTCTCTCCAGGCAGCACGAGACCGTGATTCCCGGGGAGCTGCCGCTGGTGCAGGAGCTCACGTCCACGCTGCGAGAATGGGCTGCCATCTGGCGCAAGCTCTATGTGGTAAGTTTCCCCAGGCCAGGAGCTGGTGGCATGGTTCCTGCGCCTCCAGACTGTTCTGCTGAAGGCCCCTTATCACTCTCGGTGTGGAGTGGGGTACATGACACCGGGACCCCACAATGACTGACAACCAGCCGGTTCCCATTACCCAAGAGCAGTCACTGGCGATAGGTGGTGTCAGAGGAAGTGGATGTAATCGCTCCACCCATCTTTGCTGAGCTGACAGGCTGGTTGACACTCCTCCCAGGCAGTACAGTTGTTTGCAACAGTTGATCAAGGAGGAACCTGCGGGAGATGCTCTTCACCTCTGCATGTTCCCAGTGAGTAGGAACAGGCCAGAGTCTCAGCGCCCAGCCAGCCACGTGCGACTCCTGTGTGTGTGGGGGGGGGGGGGGGGGGGGGGGGGAGGCCCACAGCACACCACACAGACGACAGCATCTGAGTCATGTTTGAGAGCCCCAAGACCAACTTCTTTCCCCAGCCAACGTGGTACTCTTTTCTTAAAAACATTGACTTGACCTGAGAAAGGGAATAAGGTAGCCAGTTCCTTGGACCATTGCCTGGGAAACAGCACGTTCTCTCCATGATGGACCACGCACAAGTGGTGTGTAGTTTGCCATCCAGACAGGTAGGCTTCAGCTTTTAATGTTAGGCTGCCTGGCTCACTATCTTGCCAGAGGCACAGACTGCCCCAAGACTTAGACCTGACACTCCTCTAAGAAGCTCCTTCCTTGACATTATAATGCACAAACACTGCTTCTCACCGTCTCCCGGAGACCTGGAGGATAGACATCCCAGAGGCATCGTTCAGGAAGCACCTCCCAGGTCCCACGGCAGAATCTAAGGATTCCCTAAGACGAACGTGTGTGCTCTTAGTCCATGTGAGCTAGTTCATGTAGTTGTAGTTTCTGGCTGGAAACTGTTATCTTTCTCCTGTGATTTTGTTATCTAGTTTCTGTTCAGTTATGTGTTGATTGTCTTTGTTTTTCTCTGTGGTTTTAAAAAGCAGTAGCTTTTTCTAGCACAACTTTTATAATTTAACGTTAAGATATTTCATTTTTATCCAGGGTTGTGATCCATTTCCCATAATGGATCACAACAGTAGAAATATCACCCCCTGGGGTGGAAGAGCACATGTTTTCTCCCTGCCTTCCCATCTTTCAAAGCCTGGTTTAAATTCTTTCTCCTTGATAATGTGTCTGCTAAAAACAAACACCCCTAACGTTTTCCTTCTGGACTCCAGGAACACTTCTGCTGAATCCATCATCTGGTCCACGGGGCATCCTGCCATGTAATGCAAGTCCTCTTTTGATTAATGTTTAATTGGGAAGAGAGCTAACCTGTAAGTTCTTAAGTCACAAGCTTGGGAGGATAGAGATATTCTTTGAAGCCTTTTGGCCCACATCGATCATCTTATATTGAAAGCACTCTTTGGTTCTGGACAATTGATCCGTTAGTGGTGGATGTAACAAGTTTTGATGGATGAGAAATTGCATTTGCATGGTTTAGCTCCTTATCGTGTTCTTTCTGGAAACTGGTGAGTGGTGGAATAGTTGAGATAATAAGTACTGGGAAATGAAATTTTTGTAGGAGTTGAGCATGAATGAGGGAAACATTTCTTCTTGTTAAAACACAGTTCGTTAATTCTGTCCATACACATCCACAGGTAATTGTGCCAACCTTACTCTCTAATAGAAATGAGAAATAGGTGAGCTGGGAAGGATGAGATATGATTCATATACTTGGATTTTCAGAATTCCTTAGTAGTTAGTGATAAATGTGGGCTGGGAATTTCCTGTCAATTTCACTGTTTAATAGCAGAATTGGATTCTAAGTGAGAAAATATCCGTGCTCACTCAGAGAGCAACATGCTTCCCATCTAATTCTGGCATTTATTTTAAAATGCCCACAGGTACTATTGGTTGATTAAAAGACATTCTGCAAATCTTACTCAGTTGACAGGACTAAACCGTCTGTTTGATACATGCTCACTCATAAGAAATTCAATTAAAATGGGTTTGTTACTCATTTTGACTCTCTGTTTTATTCCTGTCCTTTGCTAAAACATTGACAGTTCACTTGAAGTAGAACTTCTGAACTTCTTTTTCAAAAATGTGTCTGAAATTATTTCCAATGTTATGCCTCCCTGGGCAAAGAAAGCAAAAAGAATCCAAATTTATAGTTTCCAGCTCTCCCACACACACACTTTAAAAAAAAAAAACAAACATTTATTTTATTTGTGCAACAAGAACTGGGGTACAGGCCAAATGTGCAGTGGGTGAGAGGGTTCACCAGAGGCAGAATGGGGAGCAGAATAGGCAGGACAAAGTATACTGCTGAGGGGAGCAGCAGGTGAGACAGGAGAGGTCTGGTGCACCATGTGAGTCACCTCCCTGGCCTGGTATACACTGCAGTGGCTGTGATTTCTTCACAGTGCTGAGCTTTAACCCCTTGCGTCAACCTGTAGGCACCCGCCCCCCCCCCCACTTTTGTTTTATGATTCTGTGGGTAAATTGCTTCAGTCTACATAAGGGTAAATACAGCTTTTACAAATGTATATCAGCACTTGAATTATTCCTCTCATGCCTTTATTCCCAAAGATTAAGAGCCCAGGCATTCTAGTTGATGTCCTGAAGATAGCTCTGGTGCCTCAGAATCTCCACATTTCCCTAGAATACATTACCTAATTCTATTCCTTTCAGCCTAAGTTCCTGAGAAATTTACATAACAGATCAAGGGTTTTATGTGAGGGGAAAATGCAATCCACTGATGGATTAAACCTAGCTCTGGAAACAGTTTTTCCGGAAAGGAAAGATATTTGAATAGCTACTGTTTGTTTTAGCAGTCACTTTGTAACCTCAGGAAATAATGATAAATAGGTTTTAAGTGGAAGAGGAACACTTGTTCAAAGTAGAAAGAATAAATGAGGTCCCCCCCACCCCAACCCCTTGCCATGTTCCTTCTTCTTTTTTGGCTTCAAATTGAATTGAATTGCCAATCATTTACATAACTATGTAATTTTGAGGAGTACAACGTCATACCTCTATGCACATACTTAACTCACACCTTCCCTTCCCATCCTTTCTCTCCACTGACTGCATCCCCTCTGGTAACCAGTATATTTTTCACAGGGTCTAATATTTATTTTTGTTGTACTTTGCTAGCTTATTTTCCTTGTTAAGTGATAAATAACCAAATATTATATTCTGCTAATGAACAAAATCATCCGGCATCTGTCATTCACTTTCTGACTTATTTCACCAGCATAACTACTTCAAGATTCATTCATTTAGTCCCCTTAGCCACTATTTGATCTTTTTTATGGGTAAATAGTATTCCACTGAACATATAGTCCACAACTTTCCCTCATTCCTTCTTTCTTTTTTATTAATATATATATTTTTTCCATTTAGTTACCTATCCTGGTAGATATTGACCTTATGCTTCTGGAAAGCTTGGTCTCTTGCTGCAAACCCTGTCCACCTGGTTCTATAGACTTGAGCAAGTCACTTCCAGTCTCCATGCATCTGCTAAATGTTGTCTGTCTCAGTGGTAAAAAGTCTGCCTGTTTACTCCCGAGAGTTATAAGACTAAGTCATGAAAGGCGGCTCTGGATTATTCATCGTGCAGAGTGACCCTCAAGGACTCTGTGCATGTGAGCAAGAGATTCTTGATGCCTTTGTGGCCACTGGAAACAGTTGCCACTCTGCTCCCCCTCCCTCCGCCCAGCCTGTACTTGTATCCCACTGGCCCAACTCAAGACTCTGAGGCTCCTTTCATGTCCCCCCTTCTCCACAGCCACTGCCTTTGTTCTGTGTTATCATCTTAGGCGGAGTGACCTTGAGCTCTCAGTAGCAGACTGTTTCTCACCATAGACAGTGGCTCCTTCATTTGGGTTTAAGTCTAGAAGACATGGGTCACCCTCACTGCTGTTCTTCAGCTGGAACCTGTGTACTTAAATGTGTTTTCAGTGACTGATTGGGAAAGGAGGCAATTTTGTGAATGAAGTTTGCAGAGGAGCAAACCGAGGATGTCCAGATCAGGCAAGCAGCCAGTGCATTGAATGCTGGCTCCCTCCCTTGGTATGTATGTTTATATTCACAAAAAATAACAAACCCAATAATAGTTACTGCACACAGACCAGAACAGAAAGATCTGAGATTCCCAAGACAAGGGTTTTAGCTTGAGATATCCTACTAGCTGATCCTATAGCTCAGCTTGAGATGGAGTCCTTTGTCTTATTTTCTTCATCTTAAGTAACAATACTTATATGTTGGAATATTTGCTGTAACAATGCAGTATGATAACCGGACAGTGCCTGGTGGCACACTGTTGCCAATGACAGCCCTGACCATCCCCTTCCAGTATTACTTCATGAAAAAGCTGATTGATGATGAAAGTGTTAAAGGGGGGAATGAGGCTGCAGTGTGGAATTTTGCTGAGGTCATTTAAAGGTGTCTTGGCGCCTACACAAGGGCTTGTCCTCCAGCGTGGAGTAGACTCCCTTCTCTCCCTGTAAGGACATCATTGCTCCAGGCTGATGGTCTGTAAGTGCTCTCCGTTATTCTTGCTGTCTCAGGGTCTTTCAGTTTTTTTTTTTTAACTTTTTTTTTTTTTTTAGATTTATTCATACAGAACTGGGGTACAGGCCAGAGATGCGGAGGGTGAGAGGATTCACCAAGGACAGAGTGGGGAGCAGAACAGGCAGATCGACAAAGTACACTGCTGAGGGGAGCAGCGGGCAGGTCAGGAGAGGTCTGCCGCGCCATGTGGTCACCTCCGGGGCAGGCGGGAATCGAACTCATTCGGAAGTGGGTTAGGCTTCTTAGAGCTGTGCTTTAACCCGCCGCGCCACCAGGTAGGGCCTTTCTCTCAGTAAGTAGATCCAGTGAACTGAGCTTTGGCCTTCTTTTCTTCCTGGCCCCATACCTCTCTGCTCCACGTGAGTTCCCCCAACTGGAAGGGCAGGTACGGACACATTGATTTAGATACAGATGGGTGGA